TTTTTAAATGTAACTTTGGTTTTTTCATGCATCATATTTAGTGTGGAGATATATTGGGTAATTAAGGGTTTGTTTCAAGCATTCCAATTAGCTACCTACCTTTCTACTTTGCCCTACATTAGAGTTAGGGTTGAATGCGAAAAGGCCAGAATTATATTCTATATATGTGGTACGTTCTCTTCTTCTCCAATTTCCACTTCTCATCTTTTTCTAATTGGCTGGACATCTTTTTCGTTTTTTTTTTTTTATTCAATCCAATTTTGACTAGAAGAAAAACGGGTACATTTTATTTTTAGTCAATGTTATTGTGGGAACCAAGAATTTTAGTTAGGATTCGCTTTTCAAATTTTAAAATAATTTTGTTTTAATTTTGTGAATGAGATATGGATAATCTTTGCTTGGAGTGTAAAACATGAAGTTTTGTTGATTGAGACTTTTGCATGTGAAGCTTCGTTTAATAATATTTTTTGGCATTTTATTTTTTTTAATTTTTATTTATTTTATTATTTTAAAAATATATAAAATATCAATTAAATGAATATTAAATATATAAAATATATTTTATATATTTTAAGATATTAAAAAATTTTAAAAATACAACTAAAATTACAAATTAACGATATCAAATTTAATCTTGATATTTATAATACCCAGCCTCACCCTTACCTATGGTCCCATGCGTAACCCGGCAAACTTAATTAATTACGGGCAACCAATAGGAGAAATGAGGGGAGTAAAACATGTATAAGCTTTTCTCTGGCTGCAGAGTGCAGACTACTATAATTAATTAATCTATCATTTGATCCTGGAGAAAGATATTCTGCCGTCATTCAATTTGCATGAGCATTATTTATGGTTTTAAAACTCTGTTACCTTTTTCAGAATTAGAAAGAGGCGTGAGATAACAGTTATTTCTCCATTGGACAAGGGCAAACGGTATGCAAAAATAGTACTATTCATAATTGATAATTCAATACCCTTCAAGCAGTTTAGAGATAAAAATTAATAGGTTGGGGACCGTTTCTAGGAGTTTTCTCTCTAGGGTATCCCACTTTGATCTCCTGAGGTGTTTACCTTCAGGTTTTCTTCTCTTTAATCTCTTCATCCTGACCATCCAGAATCCTCAACCGTCGCCGTGGTGTCTCAAGTCTGAAATCTGTGGTGTTGGGCACTTTTTAACTGCTGCAGGGTCTGTGGAAGTCGTTATTGGCTTGTATTTTTTTCTACCTTCCCCCTTTACTCATTCCAGGTGGATAGAATGCCTGATGAGCATCAATTATCTGCTGATGATGAAATTCCGAGGCAGCCCGGTCCTCCTATACTGCGCCTCGTTCCGAAGGAGAAGGACCAGGATGAATTGCGCAGATTTTCTTTTGCTGGTCATTTACTCGCAGATGAAGACTATGTTAAAAGTGGAGTCGTGTACAGCATTTTGAAAAGCGCATGGAGACCCAAGGGAGGACTGGAGGTTCATGAGCAGTCCAAGAACACCTTTATCTTTCTCCTCTCTGATGAAACAGAGAAGGATCGCATCTTCCAGGAATCTCCATGGTTTGTAAAGGGGTCCCATATCATCCTTAAGGAATGGCCTGATTCACAGAGATTTGATGAAATTGCCTTCTCACACTCGGCCTTCTGGGTCCAAGTTCATGGATTACCAAAAGGCTGTATGACCCCAGAAAATATTCAACTCATTGGCTCCCTCTTTCCCCAGTTACTCTCTTGGGACAAATCTACTTTGGGGGGCTTAGAGAGCTTCCTGCGCCTAAGAGTTGAAATAGATGTTCATCTCCCATTATTATCAGGTTTTCAATTTCGCATGCAAGGGGATGAAATCTGCTCAGCGGTGTTTAAATATGAAAAATTGGTTGATTTCTGTTATAGATGTGGCATGCTTGGCCATACTTAGAAATCCTGCACTGATTTTAGATGGAAAGATGAAGATGGAAACTATCTCACACAACCAAGTCCCCAATATGGCCCGCATATGAGGGTTCCAGCTTATTCTCCGAGGAAGCATTTCGGTTCCATTCGCGAGACAAAGCAGAATCCGCAGTTAAGCATGGAATCATCGGCACACATGGCTCCACTCCGGTGGGACGCAAAACAGCCGGTGACAAACACACCAATCAATACAGAACCGCAGTTGGTCCATGACGTGGAAGGCACACCAACATTGGGTGGGGTACCAGCGGATGGCGAGCGCGTGAACCAGCGTTCCTCAGACTCGCCGCCCAAAGCTTTTATTGCATGTAATCCTTCCTGCAGTGACATAATTACTCACCCAGCTGGAGGCTCACAATCCTCACTGCCATCCACTCCCACCCCCGAGCATATAACTCCTCCATTAAATGCGATGGTGACCGAAGACGATGCATTCTTATCTGTTCAGACTCTTGAATGTTCAAGTACATCGGACGAATTCACTGGACGTCAGCAAACCTCCTTCCCCATCCAAATTGGCCCAGAGCAGTCTACTATGGATGTTGAAGTGGGCTTCATTCTATCCGAACAGGTAAAGGCCCATTTATCACTGGGAAGGCCGGTAAATACTGGGAAAAAACGTAAAACTGAGATGGGGCCTTTAGAGCAAATCTTTAAACGGACCCGTATTAGAGAGGCTGAAGCTTCTGAAGTCCTATGCTCCCCTGCCCAATTACAAGCAGCTCTCATACTGGATAGATCTGAATTCCACAAACAGGATCAGCAAGGCTTTTTCACAAATGTAAATGAGACTATCACCGTGAAGAAAGTTCGTAGAAGAATCCGGCAGCAAGCCCTCACTCATCATGTGCGATTTAAGCCAGATGCTAGATTCTCCCTTCTCCAAGATTTTCATCCAACACAGATCCCCTTCAATGATCCCCCAGTTATTCCAGAACTCCCTCTAGTCAATACAACTCCAGGTACCTCCTCCTCATACTCACTGAGTACTCCATCAACTCAAACTGAGCAATCTCTCCACATTACTGACACTTATGGGGCTTTGGTGGCTGCCCCTTGGAAGCCACCCTCACCAACATGAACATCCTTTCTTGGAATTGTCAGGGCCTTGGGCAAGCCTTGACAAGAAGAGTGCTGAAAGACCTTATCTTTAAACACCGCCCTTGCTTAGTTTTTTTGATGGAGACTAAACAGTCCATGAGGTATCTGGAGGGATTAAGAAGGAGACTCTCATTTGCTAATGGAGTGTATGTTAATCCGCAAGGCTATTCAGGGGGTCTAGCTTTGTGGTGGACAGACGACGTTCATATTTCCATATTTTCAGCGGACAAAAATATGTTCGACGGAAGCTTGTCTGATGTGGAATATAATGTCACTTGGCATTTTTCATTTATATATGGGGAACCTAACATCCAAATGCGAAGAGACATGTGGAGAAAGGTGATTGCTTTGAAGCGGGATGCCGTGATTCCTTGGCTGTTAATGGGGGACCTCAATTTGGTTGGAGACAGCTTTGATAAAAAAGGGAAACGCCCACCGCTAGTCACGGATAGAAGGCTACTAGAGGAATTGGCTAACTCTTGTTGTCTCAGGGAACTCGCCTACAAAGGTGCGAGATACACATGGTCAAGAGGGAGCATCAGTGAACGACTTGATCGTGCCTTAAGTAATGAACGGTGGACTCAACTTTTTCCTAATGCCCAACTTTTTCACTGCACTAGGATTGGATCGGATCATTGTCCTCTGCTACTTTGTTTAAAAGCCATCCCTGTGTTCCCCAGGAAACAGTTTCGCTATGAGCTTAAATGGCAGCAACACCGGGACTATGAAGGGGTGATAGCTCAAGGCTGGGCAACAGAACGCCCTGGTTCTCCTCTTTATTGCATGTCCTCTAAACTTGCTCATTGTAGAAAACATCTGATGCACTGGTGGAAACACACAGGAAGAAATTCTCGTCTTGAGGTGGAGCGATTACAGAAGGAACTTGATCAATTACAATTAGAAGAACAATCGGAAGCAAACTTATCCCGACAAAGGTTGCTGATTGATGAAATTAATTCCCTATGGCTACAGGAAGAAACACATTGGTTTCAGAGAGCCCGCACCAGCTGGATACTCCTGGGGGATAGAAACTCCAAGTACTTTCATGCCATGGCCTCTCGAAGAAGACAGAACAATTACATTTTCCAGCTAAAGGATGAACAAGGCACACTACTGGAAGGGATTGACTCTCTTTTGGATCATGCTTATTCCCACTTTCAACAGGCCTATGACTCCCCAGAAACTTGTTCCTTTAATCAGATTGAGGGGCTTATCAGACCGTTGGTGACTACAGAAATGAATGAAGACCTATGTCGGGTTGTTTCGGATGAAGAAATAAGGGCCACAGTATTCCAAATGGGCGCACTAAAAGCCCCCGGAGTTGATGGTTTTCCAGGGTGTTTCTACCAACGTCACTGGGATCTTGTTGGCAATGATGTTTGTAGGGCTGTGCAGCATTTCTTTACAAATGGTTTCATGCTTAGGGAGATGAACAAGACAAAAATAGTTCTTATTCCTAAAGTCAAAAATCCTAAGGTGATTACACAATATCGTCCTATATCTCTTTGCAACTTCTCTTATAAAGTCATTGCTAAAATTCTGGCTAATCGACTCAAAGCATATCTCAATGACCTGATCTCTCCATTTCAGTCTGCATTTGTGCCTGGTAGGACCATACAAGACAACATTATCATTGCACAGGAGGCTTTCCACGGCTTACACCTAAAAAAGTCAGGTAAGCATGGTGTTATTGCTTTAAAACTTGACATTCGGAAAGCTTATGATAATGTTAATTGGAGTTGCTTGGAATATATTATGAGGGCTCACGGGTTTTGCGATAAATGGATCCATATGGTGATGCAATGTGTCTCAACTGTGTCATATACAGTGGGAATCAATGGCAGCCAAACTCCTTTTTTCAGCCCTCGACGCGGACTTCGTCAAGGAGATCCATTATCCCCATATCTTTATCTATTCATTGCTGACATTTTATCTCGGTTATTAACGGCAGCCACTTCAGCAAAGCAACTTACTGGCTATAAGATCCGAAGACGGAGCCCTATTATCAGCCACCTTCTCTTTGCAGATGACTCCTTAATCTTTTGTCGGGCTACAACAGAGGAGATATGCCAATTGCAATCCATTCTGCAAGTCTATGGAGATGTGTCAGGCCAAAAAGTCAATTTCTCTAAATCTGCTGCCATGTTCAGCTCCAACACTCCAACTGAGGTGCGAAACTTAATCTGTAGTAAACTTGGCATCCAAGCTGAGTCGACTTTCTCAAAGTATCTCGGTGTTCCAATTTCATGGGGGAGGTCCAAAAAAGACTGTTTAAAATATGTGGTCGATAAAATACAGCAGAAACTCACTCACTGGAAAAAGGGTTTGTTATCACAAGCTGGTCGAGAAATTTTAATTAAAGCAGTAGCTATGGCCATCCCCACCTTTACCATGTCTTGCTTTCTTTTCCCTGTAGGAGTTTGTCAAGATATCAACAGGATCATCAGGGAATTTTGGTGGGGCCAACAAGCTGAGGAAAGGAAAATATGCTGGGTCAGTTGGAGCCATCTCTCAAAAAGTAAGCATGTGGGAGGTATGGGCTTTAAAGATCTCTACTGCTTTAACCTGGCAATGTTAGCCCGACAGGCTTGGAGATTATTGCAAAATCCTAATGCCTTATGGGTCCAAGTCTTAAAAAGTTTATACTTCTCAGATTCCTCCTTTTTGTCTGCTAGAAAGGGAAGTCATCCCTCTTGGATTTGGTCAAGCATTTTACGAGGAAGGGATATTATCCAAATCGGCATGAGATGGAATGTCGGGAACGGTCAAAATATTCTGATTTTTGAAGACAGATGGGTTCCCACTCTGCCAGGATTTAAGGTGACCTCTCCTGAAACTCACTCTTTGTTTACTTATGTTTGTGAACTACTTGATGATGGGGGAGAATGGGATATTACAAAATTAACTCTTAGCTTCAGCAACCAAGAGTGCAGAGAAATTCTCAAAATCCCGACTAGTGCATGCCCTGACTCCTTTATCTGGCATTATGATAAAGTTGGGAAATTTTCAGTCAAAAGTGCTTATTTCCTTGCATATAATATGACCCGTGAACTAGGAATACTTGAAACCAATAGGGACATGACCATTGGAGAGTGGAAACAATTATGGCGATTGAAAATTCCCCCAAAGGTTCGTGTTTTCTTGTGGAGAGCCATACTAAATTCTCTGCCCTCTTTGGATAATTTGGTAAAAAGGGGAGTGTTACAAGAGATGACCTGCCCTAATTGTCAGGGAGCTGATGAGACCTTGATGCATCTCTTATTTTTTTGCCCTCAAGTTGAACCAATTTGGTTTGGCTCCAACTTGGGTCTTAACCCTCGGCAACTGCGGGTGAATTGTTTTAGAGACTGGTGGAGGTTCATTAACAGTTTAGCAAAGCAGATGGGTTTACCATCTCTGGTTGATCAAAGTGCAATAATCTGTTGGCATCTATGGAAGGCAAGAAATGAGAAACACTTTGAACATGTGGATTTTAATCCTCATCAAATTCTTGCTCGTATCTCTGCTATGATCCATGACTACTCCTCTAGCATGTCTAAAAACTTACCGCTTGCCCCGTCCAGGTCACGGGCTGATGGGAAACAACAGCATTCCTCCTGGGTTAGACCTCCGACGGGCTTCCTTAAAGTCAATGTGGATGCCTCTTTCTCTCCCCAAACGGGTTGTGCTGCTCTAGCAATGGTTGGGCGCAACTTTAAAGGTGAGATTTGTGTTGGAGAATCCTGGCTCTCTATGGCATCATCATCGCTTATGGCAGAGGCGGTCGCTTTATGCAAAGCTGCTAAATATATGGAAAGCATGGGCGCCCAAAATGTCTTGTTTGAATCAGATAACCAGGCTTTAATTATCTCCCTATTGCATCCTGATAAACCAATCCCATGGGAGATTAAGTCAATCATCCTGGCCCTTAGAGAAATCTCTCATCGCCACCCGCATTTCATGTTTTCCTTTATCCCACGAAAGGATAATAAGGTCGCAGATTGGGTGGCTAAACAGTCACTTAAAGGGCAATGCCCCTTCTTTTGGGCACATAGACCTCCAAATGTTCTGCTCTCCTTACTGCTATGGGATGGTCTTTGTAAATAATGTACATTATTATGAAATACTATATAAATTTCCTTTTCCTCAAAAAAAATACCCTTCAAGCAGTTTCAGAGCTTGGATCGTTTCTACTCAGACATATCTCCATCCAGTCTTGGCATGCCACGTACACGAAAAAGTAACATGGCAGCTAATTGGTGTTAGTAATGCCATAAATTTCCACTCCACAAGTTTGAAAATTTTAGTACCATAGGCAATATGTTATCTTCAAAATATTTTTTTTCTTGTTCTCCACGTTGTGAACGAATGGTTTCTCTCTCCCCTTAAAGTGAGAACACCATTGGGAGGTAAGAAATTCAACCCCTAGCTCCCCTTCCCCCACCTCCCTTAAATATAAAATGTAATAATGGTAAACAA